AGAAATTTCATGAACTCTCGAGCATCGTCGCGCTTCTGAAAATAACTTTACGGATTAGCAAATACAGACCGATGATATGGAAGCTTACACTATATTTTGAATGCCAAGGAAAATGCAAAATATGAACAATCCAAGATTTTATATATATATATATATACAACTCAAAAGAGAGAACAAAGGTCAACCATCAAATATTAAAATCAAAGAACTTTGAAGATACGTATACTTAATTGATTGTGAACCCAGGATGAATTCCATAATAATAATAATAATAATCTAAAAAAAAAACTACCTGAAAAAGTAAAAATGTGAGTGCTACAAGATAAATGACAGCCAAGCCATGTACTAGGCGCCATACAGCTGGATGGGGTCTAATAAGAATCCTGCAAGGTAAATATTATAAACCTGGGTAAAATAATCATATAATGATGAAATATTTTCAGACTTGTGCCATCAAAATTCAACCCCAAAAATGACTATCATGTAACATACAATTCAAGTTAGGAAAAAGAAAATAAATGGACAATAATGTTTGAATTAGAAACAAGAACTCTTCAAACAAGGGCAGATGGATGCGAGGAAGCATTCATCTTAAAATGAAAACATCTTATAATGATGAGTCACATCATGCGTTAAATCACTAGTCATTCTAACAACCATATCGATCGGGTCTCTACAAATGAATACTCTATCGTAAAATTCAAACCACGAAACAACTATAAGCAAACTACAATTTGCAAAATTGAAACAATAACTTACGTAGAAGGAGCTTGAAGCAAGCAATATGCGAGGAATACAGCGATCATTGCCCACACACCCCTACAAGCATGAACTAAAGCTTATCAAGAGGAAATGAAAAATACTTGATCTTGAAGGAGAAATATTTATCGTTCGGAAGCAGACCTTTTAACAGATGTAACAAGATCACTTGATGCAGTGCATTCAGGATCTAGAGCTCCACTGGCCCAGCTGACAAACACATCCGGACAACAAAATAAATTCATGATTGCAAATAGCTCATGCAAAAGCATTCGCTGAAAAGACAAACAAAAGTACTTCATTCAAATTTTGAAAAAATAACTGAAGGCTGCAATATTATCCAAGACTGAATATTACCATGCACTAGGAAATAGAGTCTCTAATGCCCTCCCTTTATTCTTCCTATCCAATGTGTTAGAATCCAACCCAAAACTATAAATGTCGAAGACCATGGTGCTGAAAGTGATGAAGAGGATAGGTAATAGAAAAAATAAGACCAAAAAACTTTAGTGAAAGTTATTATTCGGTTCCGAACAATGACAACAAAACGTGAACTTCCATCTTTTAGAAATATTAAGATATAATATTTAAGGAAAAAAAATCATACTTCACTATTCCAAAAAATAAACATAAAAGTCACTATCAAAAAATTTGTTGAGATGGAATTACAGAGTATAATCAGAGATCAGAACACTCACATAAGAAAGCAGGCGCCAACAAGTAACAAAGAAACCGTGCGTGGTTTATAGGCCCATGCAGTCCACGGATCAAGATCATCAACATTTGATAAAAGAGAATCACCATTCGCTCGAATTAGGTGATTCTTTTTATTCACTCTCCTTGGACCAATAAGTTCCATATATTGAATTGAAAAGGTCGACTTAGCCTACTGCAAAATATTATGACACACCATTGGTAGTTATAAAAGACATCACAGCAGTTCCTGAAGCTATACAGTCGTAGTGAGGATAGGGAGAAAAATCCCAAAAAGTCAAAGATATTACACAGAACTGGCACATAGGCAACATATTCAGAAAATGAGAATCAATAGAGATTATCACAAATTATGAAAACATGGAGCAAAGACCAAGATGCTACCAACAATAGATATAAAGAAGCCACACCACAATAACAGGAAGCAAACCACAGGCACATGGACAAGGTAACCAACAATCTTTTTGATACTAAATCGATCATTCATCACATACTGAACCACACATGTACTGAAGCATTGGCATAAGGAAAAAAAAAATTACCAATTGAAAAACATACAAAGTCTAATCCTTAAACAAGCTATCAAGAAAACAGTTTCTTCACCACTGATGCAATGAAGTTATAAATAGTCCCATTGAGAAATTCCATCACAGCACGCAGCCAAGTCAGACCGACATACTTGGGTCAAAAGAATGGAACACAAAAAGGGCCGTTAGGTAAAGTGATCAAGAAAACATTCCATAGAAGCATGTGAGATCTATCCCCCTTTGCCAAACATAAGGAATCAACCTACTAGGCGCTCTATTATTGACATTGACATCCCAAGCTATTCTATTTCTAATAACCATCCTCTCACATCTAGAGTTTAAAGTCAAAAGAGACTCTCTAGCTGCTAGCTATCCACATAGCCCTCCACAGAAGAATAAATTGCCCACATCAATTCCACTTGCATCAAGAGATGCTTACTAACAGCATTGCGATTTGACAGAAAGCTACCAAATTCGATGTCCTCCTTGCAGAGGCAGCTAAACATTCTGATGGAAATCAACCAGCAGCTTCTTCATCACCAATATAGCAGAAATTAATTAAAACCCTCAAGTAGCCCACAACCCAACCCAGGGATAAAAGAATCATGATGTGGAATAGTGTAAATAAGAAAATGTGTGTTGTTGACAGATCAAGCTCTCTGTCTCTCTCTCATCTTACCAATGAAAAATCCAAAATACCCTAATCTAGAACCTACTTCAACATCCATCTGTAATTTGTAAATCAATAAAACTTTTGCCTTCACTTTAGCAATAAGCGCATTACTAAAGTAGACCCAGCTTTGAAGGGGGAAAAGAGAGAGAGAAAAGGCAGCACTGTTGAAAAAGGAAGTATCCATGATGATGAAAGTATAGTGATTAAAAGCAATGATTAAGCAGGGATCAAAAAAGTTAGCATCATAAACCCATATGATTTAAAGAGCCACTTTGAACCTTCTAACTAGCTATCCACCATTAGGACGGCGTTCTCAAATGCAAATAACAAAAGTTAAACCAGATTCCAAACAAAAGCACAAATCACCAGGAAGAACAAATACAAAGAACTAAAAACAACAAACCCACGAATTAATTCCCTCAAAAGCTTTAAAAAAACGCAAAAGATAAAGAAGAAGAGTAAAGGAAGACAGAAGAACATACGTAGGTCCTCAGAAGCAGAGCGAAGAATCGCAAAGCGAAGGAAGATGACGAGGAGGCATAGGGCGAGAGAAAGAGAAATCAGGCATCAACCCAGAAACATAAACAGTGAAAGAAACAGGGGAGCGGTGGCGAAAAGATTAAAGCGAGAAAGAAGAATAGTCCTGTTTGGGGAATGGGTACTGTAGAGTACAGGGGAAGTGGAAGCCGACAAAGGGCTGGGTAGCCGTGGATTGAGAATCCCAAGTGTAAATCAGAGGAGATAGATAGATGAGCGCAGTACAGAGTGAAAGAGCAGTAGAAAGAGTCAGAGAAATTGCATCTGAATATACATAAACACAAACAAACACAGTGAAATTAAGAGAGAAACAGTGAAATGGGAAAATGGGAGATTGAAGAAGAAGTTGAAGACGATGAGGAGGAGGAGAAAGAGTTCAAATTATCAAACCCGAATCAAACAGAGGCCATTAGACACAGAAAAAGAGTGCGCGATGGTCAAAGATAGATTTGAGGGCTTTTGTTTTTTTGTTCTTTAAATTTAATTCCCATTTTTTTAAACAATTTTTTATTTAAATTAATTAAGTAAAATAAATAAATAAATAAATTATGCCATTTTCGGATTTTAGTCTGTTGCTTAAATGAGGCGTATGTTTGTTTAGGCACAGTACCGCCTCCCTTTCCCTTTTCTTCCATCTCTATTATTTTATTTTATAATTTCACACATTTCCTGTTATTTATAAAATACAATTTAAAATATAACAATATTTTAGTATTTTAATGTTCATTCACAATTCCTTTCAAGTAGGCGTACCAATAGTATAATATACTAAATATAACATACATTTAGGGCATAAATGTTCTTTTTTTTTTCTTCTTAATTTTGTACCTTTCCCGATATATATATATATATATAAAAACTTTAAAACTTGATCGATCTATCAAATATAAAATTGAATTATCTGCCAAATAACGTTTTAAATTTTTAATTTTATGTCGATTGATTAAGTTAATGAATGGTAAAAAAATATTGAATATCAATATTAAGTAACATTGATTTTGTAATAATGGTAATGAACATTAAGAAGAAAAAGAAGGGGAGAAGTGGAAAAGAATAGGGACCCAAAGGGGGCATTGAGAGTAATATAGAAAAAGGGCCCTCTAATTAAAAACACTTCTTTGATTGATGAGGAATATGCAATGTGTCCAAACAAGCATACGTGCAAGATATATTGTAGGCCTCACTACCTTACTAATCAATGAACACATAATTAATTGGTTGGTACAATAATCCACGTCCGACAACGTCTTACCCCTCTATTAATCACTACTCACACCCAACTATTGAACGTTTAAATTTATCACCCCTATCCAAAATCCTACTTTGATGGGCTTCCCTCAAGGTGACACGAAAGGTCTACCTCCTTTAGTAGCTCGGCAGAGTCAACAAGTTTTTCAAACACCTTTTCATAGCTATAGTTAGAAAAGTACAATTGGCTGTATCCCACTTATAGGAATGTTATTCAATAGCACACCAAACGCATGCGGATAGAACTCTAACTTATTGTTTGTACGGAGAGTATTTCCATTACGTAGAGTATTCACATTACGTGTGGGTATGTAGAGTATTCACATGACGTGTGGGCATGAATGACGGAGGTGTGATCAGATCTGCAAAGAAGAGTGGTCCATTGGGTTGGCAAAAATATAGTGGTAAGAAGAGCAGGATGAATTGAAGAAGGGAAGAGCGAGGAGGAGGAGGAGGAGGGAGGGAGGGAGGGAGGGAGGGAGGGAGGAGGGTACAAGCATTGATGATGATGATGATGGTGAGAAGAATTTGTGAGAAGTATAAGACAAACAATTAATTTCCAATAACTGTGAGGCCTCACTTTCTGCCATCCAATGCGCAGTACTCTGTCCAATCCCCTTTCAAAACATTTTGTGTTTTTAAGGTATCAGAAAAATGACATTCACAGCCTGTCTTCTACTCCCACTGTCTGATTCCCCTCTTTTCCATCCGACACACTATTTTTTTTTTGTTTTTGTTTTCCATTTCCTACACCATCACTCACTGTTGCATTCCCCTGGAAAATACAAATTATTAAACAAAAAACGAAACACTTCCACTAATTTCCATTTCAAAAATTTGTGTACCTTCCCTTTCCCACCGCAATGGATTACAGTTGGGGAGACCTGGAGGAACAGAATTCTCTAGGGATTTGAGAATTGGTCAGATTAACTTGCTCTTGGTTGTGGCCTCAATACATCTCTGGCGGTCCATGAATTTTACCAATTGGATCTTCCTTTATCTCTCTCTCTCCATCTCTAACCCATTGTATTCTGTGGCCAATTTTCAGATTCAGACAAGAGGACCAGAATGGTGTATAAACTCAGCTCACCACAATTTGGTGTCATTGATATTGACATGGCACAGAAATTTTTTCATTCCTTGGGGGCATCTTTGCTGTTTTCATAGAATTGCAAGGACCCAGCATCATAAAAAGAAAGAAAGGGGAAAGATACAGACTGTGTAGGACCCAGCGTCTTTAAAAGAAGAGTCAGGAAAGGTGCAGACTGTAAAATGTACTGTTGCATCTTTCACCCCTCCTGACATGCCTGTTTTTTTAGGACTAGACATTGTTTACTGCCACACTACCAATTTCCAAATATCTTCGAATTCAAAGATTTCACTTTGGAATTTTACAGGCCTACTATTCTTTTTGCCCCCACCCCATAAAAATGATATTTTACATGTATGTATGTGACTGGGATCTAAATAAATTTATATACAAAATAATCAAACCGAACCTTGTAGTATATCATCGCTTTCACCGTCCCCCTTGCAAACGTGAATTCTGGTCCCCCCTCCCCCCATTATTCAACTCCAGTGCCTTCAACCTCAGCCCTACGGTTCAAGGTCCAGCCTAGGATGTGGATGTTCTTGTATTTCCATGAACCCCGAGTTCTGCTCCTCCAAATCTGTTATAATAAAGTTTTTTGTTAAGTATCTTCAGTTCTCAAGGTCAAAAGCAGAATGAATCCAGAAATCATGAGATTCAGGTGTCCTGAACCGAAGAGCAATTACCTGAGCTTCATTGGTTGTGGTCTGATTTTACTGCGTTCTCAAAATGCAATTCCGTTAAAAGGTGGAAGTATTGGGTTAGTTATGATCCTTCTTGCTTCTTTTTAGCATCATAGACATTTGGTTGATACAGTCTTGCCCAATCTGATTTCCACCCATTAGCCACTCGAGAGCCCTAGCTGCTGCATCCTTTTCTGCATTCTTTTTGTTGGTACAAGGTTGTCCCATAATTTGCAGTCCATTAAATTCAACGGTTGCTTGGAAATGATTATTCTTCAATTGCTTTGTCTTATAGATGGGTGCAGCATATCCAGCCCTCGTGAGTAAAGTCTGCAGCTGACTCTTAGAGTTGTCACCACCAGGTCCACTTTCAATTCTTGAAACAGAATTTGGTGCTGCTGCGAGAGTTGATTTCTTGGAGGGTTGCTGAAGGATCTGCCGGCCAAAAATAAATCGACCTTCACACTGGTCTTCTGAAATAAGCAAGCGTAGAGCAGATAGGAGCTCATGGTGGGAGTGCAAGTCCATCGTAGGATTTAGTAGCTGTACTTTGACCAAATCAACGAATAGAAGCACTTAAGAGTCTAGTAACATTTCACGTTATATAGTTTTGTTTCTATATTTTCTATATTTTAAAAACGTCAGTAAAAAACTTAAAATAGTTAGTAGTAAGAAATATAAAACTGAATGATTATATCATATGGAAACTTGATTAATAGACGTACTAAGAAATCATAGTAAGAGAGTACATATTATCAATTAAAACTAAAGAGTAAACAAAAGCCACAGATCCTATCAACACACAAAATACGATATTCAACTTACCTTCATCTGTATAAGCTCTTCAAGTTCCGTTCTTAATTTCTGATACGTCTCTGCAACATCAGGTTTCATAAAAAATTCCAAAAAACCGCCCAACATTTTCAAGTGTCCCTCCTGCAAGAACAAGAGTTTAGTACTACATCTGGAATTTGAAACGACAATATATGAATTTTTAAAAAAAAACAAAAAGCAGAAAGGCGTCAATTGCAAACAAAAACCAGTACGAGAGAAAGTATCAATCCCCTAGAATACTTACTTGATCACCTTTTGAGATGCTTCCACCAAAGAGAAGCAGCATTGAGTCAGAGATAGCTGTTGAATCTCGAAGGAAAATGGAGTTCACTTTTATCTTCTCATTGAAAACTATCCATGGATATGGAATCCTCGACTCTCGAGCATTGACTGAGTTCTATAGAGAAAAGTGAAGATGGAATTAAAAGGATGATAACAGGTAATTGTAATACCTTGGCTACATTTCTTGTGAAAAGGGAAAAATCCATTGTACATACAATGGGTTGAAGAACATGCTTACCGAATAGAGAAGTACCTGGCCATCCTCCATGGTTTTGAGAGAAAATGACTTCTCATTATGCTGCATCTGATTAGTGTTAGAGAACACTAAAAGAGTACCGAAATAAACAAGGTGACATCATATTTATGGAAAGCACAAAGAAATTATCTACTTGATAGAGAGAGAATAAGAGCCATTGTTTTATGAAGAACAGACAATGGCACAAGGCAAGGCAGAGGCATAGACAGACAAAACGACATGCTATTCTCATTTGTTTTTTGCTCCGCCCGTAATTGCATAATAGGCAATAAAATATAGACAGACGTACATTCTCATTTCAATCCATTCTTAAAAATATGTAGAGAAAAAAGTATAATTGGAAAGTGCTTTCTGTGTGCTGAGTGTGTTTTAGATTTTTCCCGTGCAAATATTGGTCTTTAGTTTTTAATGAACACTTCAAAGGTTTGGATAAAAGGTATGTATTAATTATTGTTTTCATTCCCTATACAAAAGATGTTCTACACATTATGAATCTGTCCTTTGCATCCTGCTGCATCTCATTCATCACCTATCTCCACTTGTCCAGTCAATTGTTCTTTTAAAAAGCAAAATAATTGAATACTCCAAAATGTGTCCTGGGATAATGTCCTTGTTGAGTCTGACTGACACGGACAGTCTGCACAAAGTAGCATTGCAGTGTCCATGCTTCCCATAGCCATATGATTTGACCAATCAAATGTCAACTTACTGTAATAGGGTGGTACTCTTTTAAAATTCCAACTATTTATTCTTTTGAATTTTGTTGTAACAGGGCAACTTTACCTCAAAAATGGAAAGACTAAACTATAAATGGATTAATTTGTTTGGTACCAAGGATTTAAGAAAAGAAAAACAGAAGGGTGATTAAAATTAAATAAATACAACGACATACCACAATGGAGCAAACTCCAGGATAGAGGCCACAGCAAATAACTGCACGTATGAGTCGTTCATCTAGACTCCAAGCATTGTACGTGTTCGAGTGCTCATCAACTAAACCAGTATCTCTAAGCAAAGAGAAAAACTCCTTCCTTAATGAATCAATAGCCTTCATCGATTGTACAGAAAGGAAGTTCTTCCAACAGAAGTCGTAACCACCAAAGTTCCTCTCAGCTTCTTTCCATCCCTCATAAGCCCGGATAATAGCAAGGTGATCACTATGATCTCGTGAAAATTGGGACTTCGCAGCCTCTGCAGCCTTTAAATAAATAAAACAGAATACATTGATGAGGGAACTGTTTTAAAATCTGTTATTTCAATTTACGTCTTGTTATCCTTGTTCATATTACAGAAGATTTTATTCAGTAAATGAGAAATATTGGAGGGGTTGAAGATAAGATATCACCCTATTTCTATATCTAAAAGAAAACGAGATCACAGAAAAGATTCAATTCATCTCTCACTCTCCATTGACTTTCTCCGACTACAAATTGGTAGGGTGTAAGAAGCCCATACAAGCGTGGGACTAAAAAACGGATGCCATCCTGAAAACCATCCACTAGGATCAATAACCAGACTTAATAACAATTATTTGATATCACAATGCCTTCATTTCTAATGACATTGGGAACTTCCAATGCCATATCTCTGCATTTAAGGTTGTCAATACTTGTACCAACCTCCCCTAGCTAGAAGTTTTGGATCACTAGAAGAGAAACGCCTGGATCTCTAAGCTTCAATCAGTTATGCTACAATCGTAAGTGGATTGTGGTTTCAGCCGCAAATAATTGTTTGTTAAGCCCCTTTTTTGCATGAGGAAATTTGAAAAGCAATCTATCGCCTTGGCAATTCAGGGCAATTTTTTGGTTGGTGGTTCTAGTATTATCCATCAAATTTTTGGCAAGACAGCGCCCGTATTTTTTGCTGAAAGCAAGTTCTTTTTTGGAATTGCAGTTGAGTATCTCCTATATTTGGTGCATTGCTGCTAGATCTTCTCTCCCTTACTCAGGGACCGTTTTTTCAGCTGATGTGGCTGCTATGTGAGGTTTCTTTAGAGTTGAGCTGTGGTTTATTTGGGCTTTATTGTTTCACCGTTGTCTCCATTTAATTGTCAGGATAAAACCATAAAACAAAAAAATGGGATCACAAAACAATCCCGACTTTAGATTATCCAGAAAGGGAAAACCTAAGCACTGAAGAAGTCAATTGCCTGCTAAACACCAACAATCCTCAGCTTCTTTCTTGACCTCCTTCGAACCATTACTATCAGCCACAAGTATTAGGCTTATCCAAATTAATGTTGAGGGGTTGGCTCTATATAACATATATAAAAGCACTCCAGAATAAGTAAGAGGTTATTGATTTTTCTCTGGCAAGAAACCAAATTTTATCGAGCAAAATGAAAGAATATAAAGGCATACCAAGAAAACTAAACAACAAAGACGTCAAAAACCCTAACTATAGAGACAAACTTCAATTCAAAAGAATAAGACCAAGTTGATAATAACAGGAAAACACACACACACACACACACACAAGGAACAAATGCCCACAAAGAGGCAAATAAATTCCAGGTAACATGACGAATTTGACCTCCTAACAACTAAAGAAATGTAGAGCCTATTATATGATGTACCATGATGAAAGAAAACTTACATCCTTCTTCTCAAGTGGTGTTAGAAAAGGGTCTCTCACACTGAAGCCAGCAACAATGGACAAAATTGGATCCAAACAATTGAAGATAGAACCTATTATCAACATCTTTCCCAATTTTGGTTCCATTGGGAGCATAGTCAAATAACGACCTGTCAGGAGCACAGAATGAGGTAATCTGTTCCAAATTACAAACTATACAATACCTAAGGTATAATCATCAGGAGAAAAGGTAGAGCTTAATCATTACTCCATACCTAAGACAGTAAGATTTTCACTCTCATCAAATGCTCCAATGATCTTTAAATATTCAATAGCATTCTGAACCTGCAAACAATGTTTGACCAAAACTTATGCAGCAAACATGATAGAGTGCAGGTCAGTGGATATGCATGCAAAGGGAGCTCATAGACAAAGAAATGTTAAAGGTTTAAATGCCTCAACTTCACTATACACTGTATCCAGATGGAAATAAGAAGGAAAAAGACCAACCGCTAGTAGCTCTGGCGACTGCAAAGCCCTAGATAGAAACTCTGATATACTTCCAAGCTTTAGGCTTTTTATTTGCAAGCAGAGGGACTGTAAAGGTGTTCTCAAAATTTCGGGTAGCTGATATTCGAAAAAAGAATCAAACACAGACCTAGGGTATAGATGATAACATTCTCCAGGTTGAACACGACCAGCCCTTCCTCTTCTCTAGAAGGCGACAAAATAAAACAATCAAAATTAATGGACTATCAATTATACGTAGAGGAACATTCAAACCAAAAATAAAATGGACATATGGTTCCATGCATATGCTAACATCCAAGGGAAATAACTCATATCTTCAGCAAGAGAATATAACCTTACTTGTTGAGCAGAAACCTTGGATATCCAAGAGGGAAGCAAACAAGGAGTGTTGTTTAAAGCATCATATGATGTTTCTTTTGCCTTTCCACAATCCAGAACAAACACAACATCATTTATCGTGATACTTGTCTCAGCAATATTTGTTGCAAGCACTACCTTCCTCACTCCTTTGTCAGGTTCAGTAAATATTAACCTCTGCAGGCATTTGACATTAACACCGAAACATTGATGGATAATACAAATTTGTGAAATAAAATTTTAGAAAGAACAGAACAAAAAAAAAACAGCATAGAGTACATAGGATGGCATTCATGCATCACAGTCACTCGAGAAAGTATGATCATATTCCTCTCTCTCAAGAAGGATGAAAAATATTGACTTTCTCACGCAGAAAGAATGGATGTATTCATGCTAACCAATATCCCATGCAGAGAGAGAGACATGCGGCGAATCAAATCATTCTGTTTCCACAATTCAATATTACCTGCTCTGAACTGGCCATAGAGCCATGGCATGCCAACAACATGACCCGAGTTGGATCTCCTAATAAAGGGTGAGACTGAAGTTTCTCCTTCAGAGAACTGATGTCATCCCACCCAGTCATAAAAACAAGAATAGCTCCAGGCATTTCACTCTCACATATACTGACTAGAAGAAATTCTATGAGATTAAATCCAAGACAGTCTGGATTCCAACACGATAAAGACTCCCGAGTTTGAAGACTGTACTCGTTAAAATCAGCTGCCATAAGTGCATCCTAATTACAAAAGTTCCATGCAGGAAAAACGTTAGCATATTAGGATTATAAAGTATTAGTGCATTGAAAAACTTCGCATACCTGAACAGTAGAGGCAATCTGGGTTTTCCTCTTTCTTGGTGCTTGTTTGCTCATTTTCCAAGTCTTCTCTGGACCATAATCATCTATTTGATTGTATGGAGTTAATCTGTAACCCGTCATTTCTAGAATATCCTCCAGAAAATGAGTTTTGACAGGGTGTGTGAATCCCTAATGCAGACCAAAACAAAGGATTCAGGCTGCATTCAACTAAAAGTTCCAGTCCTTGATATGAGCTAACTTCCACCAACAGGGAAAACATTCAATGAAGGTTTTGGAATTATTCCATCATCAAAAAAAATTTCACTAGTATCAAACTCAAAGTACTGACAAATATTGCCCTTTTAGGTTCATTTACATCTAAGAAATAAATTCAATTCTTTATTCTATTGCACTAACTGCTATTTTCAAGTTGGCCATTTCTCAAATTATTTTCACAAAATGCCTATCTCAGGAAAAGAACATGAGTCTGACAATAATTTCACAATAATCTTAATATTACAAGTCCCAGATCCTAGAACTAATTAACAAAAAAAAATCTCCAAACAGTCTCAACAAAAAATTTGATTTCAGTTAAATGAAGCCAATCTCCTTAACAACTATGCTTAACCCATGGAGGTGTGCAGCAAAAATGTTTTCAAGCAAAGAAAAAAAAAGGATAATACAAGTCTAAATATAAGTTACCGGAGCCCAGACTGCAAACATTCAAACTAAGTCATAGAGGAATGAAATTGAATTGAAGATGTAGTACCACAACGACATTGAATTCTCTTCTTTGAAAACAATAACAAACTTCTTATTACCGGAATGTAAATTATTTGAGCCCCACCAAAGTAGGATGAGAAAAGTTCTGCATCTAAAGTTGCGCTCATTAGAATCAACCTCAATTCTGGTCGACGAGGAAGGAGATCTTTCAGGACAATAAGCAGAAAATCTAGAATGAAAAATATTTGGAATTAGAAGTTATAGTTTGCATAGACCAAAATCACCTTATTTGAATTATTACTCTTCACCTTCATTCATTCCACGCTCATGAATTTCATCAACAATAACATGAGTTACGCCTTTCAAATTTCTATCAACCAGCAGTCTTCTCAACAAGATGCCGGTGGTGCAAAAGAGAAGATGAGTATCCCTCCCTTTCATACCCTCCAGCCGCACTTTATAACCAACCTTGAAGAAATAGAAAAATTTATCATAATCCATAACGTTAGATGGAAATGGTTTTGGTTTGAGATTTTGAGCTGCTTACAGATTCACCCAACTTCTCGCCTCTTTCAGAAGCAACTCTCTCAGAGACAGACATAGCAGATATTCGTCTTGGCTGTGTACATATGATGCTGCAAACAGCACCACGGAGTGATTCTATTTCTGATTCCAAAATGAATTGGGGAACTTGCGTAGTCTTGCCACAACCAGTTTCACCTGAAATAATAATAACCTGCAGAATCCAAATGCCAGCCAAGGCAAATTTATACTTAATACACTGGTTACATGACACAAAATCATGAAAAACAGAACTCAAGGTGTAATAGAGAAAAATACTAGTAATTCCCATGAAGGTGGATCTGACAAACAGACCTAATACAATATGGGAGAGATGATGAACCAATTTCTTTTCCACAACCATAATGTGGAAAGAGCTTTCATCGACATAAATATTTTAAAGATGGTATAACAGACCTGAAGTTTTTGAGTTATTCTAAAGAGCACACGTCCGAATTTTTCTGTGTTATTAAACCAAAATAGTGGATAAAAAATTCAAAATGGTAAACTGTTTTTTTTAGAACAAGAGATTTCTTTCCTTTTCCATTTAACAAAGGACAAGAGTTCCAACTTCCAATATCATCATAGCATTTTAAGGAACAATAACCTTTTAAAAAATGTATAAAAATAGAAATTCGGGGGATAAGGGATCCATAAAACGCCAAGGAGAAGCTCTCTAATTTGTCAAAGAAAGAGAGTAATCAAAGAATAATTGAAGGAATTCTAATAAGAGGTTCCAACTGGAAAAATGAAGAGATTATATTCCAAAAGAATTCAAGAATACATTCCTCAGTTTGGAATGTTCTTCTAATCCTCTCTGTCCAGAGCTGCCAAAAACTGAAAAAAAGGAGTTGATCCAAAGAACACCTCTAGGATAGACGTGTTACAGGGTAGTGAAAATGCAACTTGGCTACTAAATTGATGGTTATGAGGATGCCATTCATTGACAGCTTATAATGAAATGACGAATTAACATCCGAAGCAAGTTAAAGAGACATGATATATTAATATATAAAACCATGAACAACCTGATTCTGTGAGATTGTGGTCAATAATGCATCCTTCTCCTTGTAAGCAGGGAGATTTTTCCGGAATTCCAGCATTTCTCTTCCTTCTAGAGATGACTGATTTTAAAAAAATAATGTATGAATAAAAAAATTAATAAAAGTGACAACAGAGAAAAATCTACAGTTTGTGGCATGAGAAAAATGACCTAAAACCTGAAAGGAGATAACCATATCCTACTAAACAGTTCAAATAACTTCAAAAGGACACAAAAACTTCAAAAAATCCCACTCATTCATCCCAGATCACTTAAAAATGAGAAGCCTGATACTTTTATCTTGATCACATAAACAAAACTGTGCAAGGGTGTCATTATTCAAATTGTACAATTTATGGACAAAAATGAAATTTCTTCAAGTTCAGTCATAAGAACTCTCCACTGGCAAATAAAATGTTCCCCACCTCGCTCTTGTACTTCCTAATTTAAATAAATGCTGTTTCTAAGATCAAATACAAGTATCTTAAGAACCAAAAAAAATGTTGCATTAGTAATCAGAAAAGCTTGTGCGCATCATACTAGTCATAGACCATACCTAACCAGACAGTCAAACCTATAATGTAGAAGTTCAAAATTATCCAACAAAATGAAATGCTTTGAGAGATAAAGCAAAGAAGTTGCTTTAGGGAAATTGAACCTGCCAAGCATGCTGTTGATCACGCAGATGCAAACTTCTCCGCCAAAGAATTTTTTCCATCACAGCCTTACTAGATGCTTGTAGCTCAGGTTGCTCAAAAAGCCCTTCATCTGTAGCAATGCTACCACTGCTGCTTGATCTAGAGACGGAGTTATCTTGAAAACATTTAAACCGAGACTTTTGAGAGAGAAATTCTCCCAGATGTTCATCAACTCTTCTAAGCAACCCAGGAGGCAAAGAAACCTGATCGTATTCAAAAAGCTTCAATTTCTGGGAAAATATGCATAAAAGCAGACTAGGGAAAAGTAAACCCAAAAATTGTACACATCAAAACAAAGCACAAATACAACTGTTCTTTTTCTGTGACATTGATGCATTAAATGATAACTAAATGGTGCAAATATTGCTTCCAAGTGAATAAAACAGAGGAATAAAAACAAAACTATGATAATTAGCACACACAGATGGTTTTTAAATTATGTGAAACAAAAGCAAATTGTAAAATGAAACAACAACTAAATACCTCCCTCTGTGGACGCCGATCATCCAAATCAAATCTGTAGTTCGGCAACGGGACCTTACTAATAACAGCAACTTTGGCATATAGATGGCTACCATGAATGACAACCAGAACATTTAGAATAACAACCATCTATTGTTGTGGTAAACACATTGCAGGTTCAAAGGAATCAAAAGTTACCTAAAAAGTCCCATTCTACTTGCCAAAGCAGCTATTTGCTCAAAATCATGTCTATCTTTTTTCTCCCTTGAAACTAACTCTTGCTTCTCCTTGTCACGTAAAAGTAGTGCTAACTTCCTTTTCCACAAATCAATGTTAGCAGGAGGTGAAAAACCCTGTACATATTTCGATAATTTATCATAACAGTCTGGTAAGAAAGTAAATAAAATCTACAAAACATATCAAATCAAGGTACAAGCTAACATGCTAGATATATACAGCATGATCAAATAAGAAACAATCTTCTACCTTTAGAGGCGCCAAAAACAAAGTGGTATCACTCAAAAATTCTAAACAGATCTACCTTGGCTTTTAAAATTCAGACCCAAAACCGAGTTGAAACACAAAATCATTTACTTTTGGAGGCGCCAGTCATTTGTTGATGGTATTAAAAAGTTCGTCCATAATTCTCCTTAGTTAAGAACAATGACCAAACAAGGAGTCAATATTGTCACAAGCAGCCCGACCTCTACATACATCTATAAATCAGTCACCTAACGAAAGTCATAGCCGGCATCTTGGCCATCTATTTAATAACCGATAAATAACGATATAACTTAATCGATTGTAGAGTCACATTTTGTCACACTGAACATGCTCGATCAAACACTTGACTGGAATTTTTTATGAAAAAGAAAAAAGAAAAATAAAAAACTCAGTCCAGTTAAAAGAAATGCCTAAATTCAAGTAATTGGGGAACCTACTTAAGCGCGTCCTATACTAATTCCCGCTGGAAAAACTAAGCTTTAAGTCAAATGCAGGCTTTGACAGAATTGGGAATACGGCGCTAATCAGCTAATAAAAAATCCAAGTAAAAATGCGAACACTCGAAATTACAAACCCAGCTATCCACTGGAGCCCCATCGTCGCAGGCAAAATCATAGTGCACGGAATTAAAACGCGATTTCCCCATCGAGAGGAGTTCCTGAGATCGAGAATCAAGGCAAGGCGGAGGAATGGTTCCGGAATCGAGCAGCGAGGCTGGAGCCTCCCTAAGCTTGCAGTCAACAGCGGAAACAGCAGAGGAACGATCAGAACGAGTAACGACGGAACGGAGACGGAGGTGAGGAGGGACGTAAACGGCGCCATTGGAGGAAGGAGTACGGTCCTTCATTGCGAGATGAAGGTGATAGGAATGGGAGGGTTTTAGGGTTTTGGGAAGTGGTGAAGGGCGATGAAATTGCAGAAGAGAGGAAATGGCATGCAAAGTAAAAAGATAGGGAAGTTGGGAATTCAGCGGTGGGAGAAGGACGGTTCCATTGAAGGAGGTGGTTTTGGAGGTTTTGAGTTTGTTGAGAGACAGACAATGGTGGCTGTGGAAGCACGAGACAGTGAGGAGAGGGGCGAGGGACGAGGGACGTGGCTTTTTGACAGTTCAAGTTTGGTGTAAGTGGCCGTGGAACGGCGCAGTCGAGCCTTACTCCTCACGAGTCCTCAATCCGACGCGGCTTTTGGCTGGGCCATCATTTTCCACGTCAGAAACTCATAATCGTTTTGCTGCGTCCAGCCGTGCATCCACGTGGATTTTTTTAATTTTTCTCTCAACGAAGATATTATCCAAGTATTTTAAAATCTATAACAAAATAAGCTGATTAATATTAATTTTAGCTCATATACTTCAAAATTGACCATTTTGATTCTTATTCTTATTTAAAAGATAGGTGTAAAGATTTTTTTTAATTAACTGCTCAAATAACATGTGTTTCTAATACTTAATTATATACAAGTGGCATGCATGCATTTTTTTTTCTTCTCAATTTGTTTTAAAATTAAGATTATAAATTATAAAAATGAATGTGACAAAAAAAATTATATATGATCCTTTTAAATCTTATTATTGCTCTAATCTATTTACCTTTTATCTATCACAGTTACTCGTATTTATTCGTATTTATGTTAATGTGAATTTGAATATAGTCTAACTAACATTTATTTATTTATTTATATTTAAACGGAAGGTAAATTGTTTAAAGTTAATCACTAAATATTGTCGCCTTAAACAATATATTAAAATAATAATAATAATAATAATAAATAAGAAAAGAGAGAGGGAGTAGAAAGATGGGTGTAGGGGATGCATAATTCATAACAAGTGCAAAAATTAAAATTACAGGGACTAGAGACAATAATCATAAAGTGAAAGGAGCATATGGAAATTAAATTAAGTATATACTAAAACGAAACAAAATTCTAAATTAAATTTAGTTTAATTAAATTAAAAGTTAATAATTCGGACCGCTGCACCTCAATTCCCCGCAATGCAACGACGTCGTCACTCTCCCGCCACGTCTGCACTTAGAAACTCGGGGGAGAGGAAGCTGCAGAGCTGCTAGATCACTTTTTTTTTTTTCCGGTCCCCCAGCCCATTCTTCGAACAGGACGGACGATGAAGGTGGCGTCGGGGCGAGGGGCGGCGCAGAGGGTGGGTGGAGTGTGCATAGCGGCGGTGGAGGAGAATGCGGGGAATTGAGAGGGGTATATAAAGGGGCATTGTGTGTGTGGGGGAATGGGAAAAGCTCCACTAGCTCGGAAAACGAGGGGGTTTGGTCGTTGGATTTCGGGTTTAATTTAATTGATTGGAGGAGAAGGAAATGGTGGGGGGGTTTCTATGGCGACACAGCATGTGAGCTTTTCTTTATTGTTCTTGGGAGGGATGTCAATGGTGGTGGGGTTTTGTGTTCAGCGACACACACAAAAAGAAGACACAACAAAATTATAATGGTGGAATGAATTGTAGTTCTTAACTTGTTTTATCTAATATGACATAACATGAATGAGGTCGCGAAATTCTTTATTTATTTTTTTAGAGATGGAAGGGGAAAATACTCGTAAGAAGTTGCTAATATATATTTTATTTTATTTTAAAATTATTATTTTACAATATATTTATTTAGATAAAAAATGTTCTATGAAGTTGAATTATAAAAAATAGAAAATGTAATAATTAAATGTATTTATAGAATGGAAATATAATTATTTAGGATGGGAGATTTTGAAGGGGGTGGGATGTGGGAGCCACAAGACACATAGAAGGTTGTGCATGGAAATTTGAATGGAAGAAAGAGGAGACGACGACCGTTCAAAAAGTGGAATCTGGGGGTTTGGTTTCGATCATATTAAACTTTTATATATTCCACTTATATCAATATTACAATATATTTATATAACTTTGTGATTGATGTGACTCTACATGGAATGCCCTTCAAAATCACAATTACGTCTATTTTCTCTTCAATTTTGTAACACTTTTATTATCCTCTCTTTTCAAATAATAAATATATGCATGTTCTTTTCAAGATGTATAATCTTCAAGTTTGTCATTTTGGTACATTTGGTCGTTGACCCTTCTCTAATTAAAATTACTATGAGTCGAACGTGACTTTTAAAGTCGGTGTTTAAATATTATGAGTCTTTTAAAAAACGAGGAAAGCATACACACAAAGGAAGAAAAAATAAAAGGATAAGTCTAATAATCACCCACTTTATAATAGATTTGTCAATCAATTAAAAGCGTTAAAATAAAAGCCCAAATTCCCATGGCTTTTAGAGTCAGAGTTTTTATGCAACTTTTCACTCTCCCTCCCAACCACTTCACTTCATATTTTCAACTAATTTATATTAATTTTTATATATTTGTATTTTAAAAAGAATTTAAGTATTTTTTTGTTATTTTCGATGAAAAATTAGAGGGGAAAAAATACCATTTTGATTTTTTGTTTTCCCTTACGGTGCATTTGAGCCGTTGCTAACTCCAAACATCACCAACACGTCATTTACACGTCACAAAAAAAAAACCGATTATAATTAATTAATTAATTAATCCCATATTAGATAGGAAAAAGGTGGAGAATAGGAGGCGCGTGTAAAAAACGCAATTCTCGGGGGAGGGGTAAAAGTGGAAAGAAAAGAGGACAATCATTGGATACTCGAGACCCCATCAAAGGAAGAATGTGGAAAGTGGGTGCGAAATTCCAAAAAGGGGAGACTGGATAAGTTCAGTGTATGGGGGGTGGCGCGTGAGATTCCAGATGGTTAAAAATGTTAAAAAAATTAATTTGGTATTAAATTACTTTTAAATAATGTCAAGTTTAGCCAATTAGAGCGTTAATAATTAGGGCTATTAAAAATGGGAAAAGAAGCTTAAAACCAAAAAAATTTACCAAAGGAACCTTCACAGACTTCCATAAGCGATTTGTTCATCATATGGTACAAAGTATTAAAGTAGACCTTTCCAAGTCTCCCCCATCCCCAAAACTGGTGATTTTAATTCACCAAATATAAACTCAAAAGACACGTTACTCAACTCGGCCTAATGTTCACATCTATCATGTCATCGTCTTCCATGCCAAGGCCAACTGGGGTATCGTCTGGGCCGACTTTATCCCCATCGAAAATGAAAACCAAACTCTTGGGATCGATTTTACGCTTCTCTGCGTACATTTTAAAAAGACGCTCAAACTTGTCATCCTGTAAAAACATTCAAATTGGAAACCACATTAGAGTATGTTTGGGAACACTTCCAGAAGTGTCATAATCATACGTGGTAATGTATGCAATACATGAAGACAGAAAATAAGAAGATAAGAAAGGGGCAAGAAAAACCCAACAGGGCATGGTGCATTATATTTTGTACTATGATCAGGAAGTAATTCAATCAAATAACATCAGAAGTATCATCACCATTGGAGATCTATAGTACTTTCAGCATAATCTAAGTGTGGATGAATCATAGAAAGACCCATCATTGTTCTAAAACAAGCACATTCAAAATCGCAGAAACTGTACACAGAAACTAATGTAACAAAAGTAACATTCAGCATCTATGTTCAAATCTAATGATCACCATATAACAATAGAGAAGTTAGGGCCATCATAATGTGGAAGGGAAGTACAAGAAAATCAAATTGAAGGGTAAATGTGGCTAATCACGTTTGCTAAAAGAAAGTGTAAGATATCATATGGGTTGAAAAGGGAAACGAACCATTTCTTATAAGAGTGTGGAAACCTCAACCTAGCAGACACGTTTTAAAACCCTCAAGAGGGTGGATTGTGAGATTCCACATCAGTTGGAGAGGAGAACGAATCATTCCTTATAAAAGTGTGGAAACCTCTTCCTAGTAGACACATTTTAAAACTGTGAGACTGACATGATACGTAACGGGCTGAAGCGGACATTACCTACTCACGATGGGCTTAGGCTAAAACAGAAAGTAACAAAAGACCTTAACCAAACTTTTTTGTCTAAGATACTAAAGAGACAACCTCTGCGAAGTTAGGAATTTAAAGGAGAAAGTTTAAGTTTGTTTTGTTCTGCCTTTTAACGATCAATTGGAAGAATTACAATTATTCACAAAACACCCTTTTTCATTAATCAATGTTTCAAGATTTGCTATGATAGTCTATACCTAATTTGTTCTCTCTCTTATTTTTCAACTCAAACTCACAAAATTTATTCATTTCCCTACATACTATTCTAAACATGCTTACTAATGAAAGATTATAGGGCAAATAAATGGCATCTAGCACGTATAACAAAAACAGTGATCGTAAACAATGAGATATGTTGACAAAAAAGGATGGTTGCACTATAAGAACATACCATGAAAATGCGAAACTGTTTGAGCTCCTCCTTGTCACTGTCTCGTACAGAAATAACAATCTTCGCTCTCTCTTTAGAAGCAATTGGAATTTGGTCATCCAAAGCAGGCTCCAGGGGATCCTGGGGCGTGTTTCCAACATCCATTTTTGCAGATTCCTCCACTTCTCGCAACAAGTTTTTAGCAGATAGTGTAACTGAGGCCAACTCTAGCTTCATTAACCTATCAGGACAGGAAGAGACACATGCCATAGCAGCTTACGCACATAAAGAATAAGAGTTCCGTTTTATTATATCAATGGATCAACCAAGCAATAGATGCATACCACTAAGTGTGAATACCTTAACTCCTTCAATGTGGAATCTTCCCCACACATATTCTTTGCATCAACTGACACCTTTGGTGGAGGAGGCAGCCAATCTTCCTCTTCGTCTTCAATTTCCACTTGTTTCTCTTTTGGGTTACCATCCACCAAACTCGTAACCTAAATATTGATTGAAAGGGAACGATCATTTTAGGCTACTTTCACTGACAGTTTCAACGAACATTAATTTTAAGCATTGTGCAGACAGAAAATCTACTATTTCACTACACGAACGGAATAATATACCGCCGGATTTAAAATCCTTGATCGCTTTGAAAAAGGTTCCGGAGACATGCACGCGTCTGAATCTTC